ACACCCCACAACCACCCCCACCCCCACCCCACCCCCACCCCGTCTACCTAAGCAGGCACTTTAGACAGCTGAGCTATCTGGCCAGCCCTTTGGGCTACATCATAAGACCTTGTCTCAAAAACTAAAGGGGCCGGGGAGATGACTCAGTGGAATAAGTGCTTCTCTGGCAAGCGCAAGGGCCTGAGATCAATCCCCGGTTCTGCCAAACTGCCAACCCAGATTAATATACCCCAAAAACTATCATGGGGACTGGGGAAATAGCTCAGTAAAACAAGCGCTTGCCTGGCAAGCGCAAGGGCCTGAGTTCAATCCCTGGTTCCGCCAAGAAAGAAAGAAAGAAAGAAAGAAAGAAAGAAAGAAAGAAAGAAAGAAAGAAAGAAAGAAAGAAAGAAAGAAAGAGCAAGCAAGCTTGGCATGGTGGCACACACCTGTAATCCCAGGACTCGGAAGGCTGAAGCAGGAGGATTGCTACAAGTTTGAGGACAGCCTGGGCTACATAGTGAGCTGAAGTCCATCCAGCCTTAACTGTTCAGTGAATCCTTGTCTCAAAAAAAAGCTGGACCAGGGATAGAGTTCAGTGGCACAAGTGCCTGCCTGGCAAGTGCAAGGTCCTGAGTTTGATTCCTGGTACCAAAACATCCCCAACAAACAAACAAACAAACAAACAAACAGAAAATGCTGATGTTGGTGGAGCATACCTGTAATTTCAGTTTCTCAGGAGCCAAGGCAGGAAGATAGCATGTTTGAGACCAGCCTGAGCAACTGAACAAGACACTCCCAAAATTAAAAAAAAAAATAGAGCGAAGTGTTGTAGCACACACTCATAATTCTAGCTTTTCAGCGGGTTGAGGTAAGAGGATTAAGGCCAGCCAGGCTATATAGTGAGACCTTGTCTCAAAAAGCTAAATACGAAAAAAATAAAAAATAAAAAAAATAACCCATTGCTTCAAAGCCATCGGATGAAGAGGATATCTTTTTCTCCATTGAATTGGTCTGGTACTTGTTCCTAAAACCCCACGTTGTGTGCAGGTCTGTTTCTCAGTGCTCTGTTACTTTCCAAGCATCTACATGTCTGTTCCTCTACTGACATCATGTTGTGTTGATTATTGTCACTCTATATTTCAATATAATTAGTCCTGACTTTGCAAAAAAAAATCACGTCTGCATCTTGTACTGTGAATACTACAAAGACAGCAATATGCAATGTATTAATTATTGTAACTGTCCTACTAACCTGTTTTGAAACTGTCTCATTGCT